GAACCCGGGCGTCGGGTACACGCTCGCGTGCTGCGTGTGATAGAGCACTTGCGCAATCAGCATCAGCATCAGCATCAGCCGCGGGTCCCCGGTCGCACAGCGCACGGCCTAATGGGCGCACGGTTCTCCCGCTCCATAGGGGGCCGCAGCGAGGGCTGGAGAGGTGATCGGGTATGAAGCCTGTTCTGGCAGCTTGCCGGTGCTCTGGAAAGGAAAAAGAGGCATTTTGTACGCGGCGAGAAGAGGACGCACGATCCGGGACGTCCGGCGTCACCGAGTCGAGAAGGCTGCAAACAAGGAGCTGGGCATGGGACGGCCACACAACGCACAAGGCAGGGAGGAGCCCGGCAGTTGGGAGATGTTACGTGCAGACGCGGACGCGCGTGGCGAGCCGGAATTACTCCGACTGAGCCGGGGCAGGAACGTTTCTCCGGTCTGGCTGCTGTTAATGGGCGCGTATGGAGCGCGGCTGTTGTGCGTGTACGTAAGCTCCACTGAGGTGTTTCAATCCGTTTTTGCCCGCTGTGCGACGAGCCGCAGAGAGGCAGCGCACGGTTGTTCTTCCCACCTCGGAGAAGCGGCCTGCGAAGAGGGAAGTTGGGTTTGCTTAAAATAGAAATAGCGATCGAGACGTGCCTGGAGGGAACAATCGGCATGGGCGAGCCCGACCGCCGAGAGTGCACCGGCTATCTGTACTCTGCGCTGAGCTAAGCGGGTGAGCGGAGAGTGGACTAAACGGGCGGGCGGGCCGTTCACCCGAGCATTGTCCTCGGAAGCAGGGGACGAGGGACGGCCGGATGCGGCGCGTTCGGTGCAGCTGAAAATGGAGTGTATGAGTGTGAGTGTGCTCAGCCACCCACCGCGCGCTGGAGGCGCGAGGGCGGGAGGCCAATGACGATAAATAACCCTTGGGAAGGCCACAGTTCTAGATCACATATCGGCCTTTGCACGGTCGACTCCTCCTCTCAACGTCACATCCTTTATCCCTCCTCCCTTCTTCCTCCTCTCCCTCCAGACGACTCCTCCCACCTGTTCATCGCTCTCTAGCACATTGGATACTGCACGATAGACACCGCCCTAGACAGCACCCTACAGTACCTATCTCAACCCACGCGCAAGATGCCACCCGTGTCCATCGACGACCTTATCGCCTCCCTCCAGGGGAACGGCATCGGCTCAGAGGCATCCGACCTCGAAGCGGTAAAGGTGCGTTCCCTTCCCTATTCCCCTCCCCCTCCTCCTAACCCAGCTCGTAGGCCCACCTCTCCCAAACCCTCGGCACCACCGCATCCCAGAATGGCTACACCCCGACCGCGACGAGCAACACCCCGCAGGGCACGCCGGTAACGTCGCACGCGCCGATGGGCGCACCGTGGGACACGCGCATGAGCGCCAGCGCACGTCGCAGGCGCAGCCAGAGCCGCGGGTTCGACATGGCCATCGACGAGGAGCCCGAGCCCGTCGCAGAGAGTAGCACGAGCGCGGACAGGGAGCGGTGGCGGTCCCCCCAGCACAAGGCCATGCACTCCCCGCAGGACTCCTTCTCGGGACACAGCTTCCCGCCCATGTCACCCATCTCCGCCACCGCACCCCCGCTCTCCCCGCCCGCGTCGCCAACCCGACAGATGCACCACGTTCCCATCCCCGCGTCCAGCAGCCCGTACGCGCACCACCCGCATGCCCATCATCCGCACGCACACCACCATCACCCGCACGACGGAGGGTATGCCGCTGCGTCGGACCCGTTCCTGCAGCAGGCGCAGCCGCCTTCGCAAGCAACATACTACGGCCCCTTCTTCCCTCAGTCCCCCCCGATGGACCCATGCGCACCAGCGATGAACATGCCCATGTCTGGGTGGAACCCGGCCGCGCAGTGGCCAGCAGGGTACGCCCAGCCTGTGCAGGCGAGGGAGGACGGCAGGCGGTGATGCCTGCTCCCACTCGCTGTCCGTTCTGCTTCGGTTTGATCTCGCTCTGGCTTCCTTTCTGGTTCACGCACGCACTCCTCTGACGAATACGACCCACGCACTGCTTTCCTGTATCAGTACACGCCCGCCCAAAGGGGCAGCTCGCTTCCTTCCACGAACACACAATTTCCCTGGCCGTCCCGTCCACATACACCACCCCTCGCCATTGCGCAAATTGACTCGTCGATCGCGCCGGCATGGCTCGCCTTGCGTCTCAGCCGAATCTACAGAAGACTTGTCTCACACTTGGTCGGCCTTACAATCCCCCGCCTTGTCCCAATTCAGATATTCATCCCAGCCGCGGCCTAACCCGGAACGCCGCCGCGGGCGCACCCGATCCGGCCCGACGGGCGCGGCTTGACCCCATTTGCCCACCTGCCTCCGATAGGCTTTCAATCTCCGCCAGACGCCGCACTGCCACCCCCACACATGTCAACCCCGGCAAGCTTCGCCCCGATCGGGTCACGCCGCCCTCCTCTTCCCCGGCGTCGTTACTCCACCTGCAAAGTGCGCAATCACGCCTTTCCTCGCCGGCCAACGTGGCTCTCCTGCCGCCCGTCCACCCTGAGCAATACAGTAGGCCAGCCGGCCGGGAAAGCGGGGCTTATCAGCGTGCCGGGCCGTAGTCCACAGCGTGCCTATGCGTCAGCGGCGGCGGCGTGGGTATCACGGGCATCGAGGCACGGCAGGCGGGGTACCGTGGGTGCCCGTTGTAGGTTTGCGCGGGCTCGGGCAGCGCATACATTGCGCTCTCTCTGGTGGCGCTGTTCCGAATGCGGACGGCGGACGAATATTGAATACCCGGTGCATTGGTTTACCGGTGCATCCAAAGCGCAAGCGTGCGCGAACGAAAACGGCCGGGCGGATGGTCCAGATGTGAAGGACGCATCCGCTCCGACTTCCCATTCCATATCCTTCTCCCGGTCCACGGTGTGTCATGCAATGTCACTACCAGCTGCATCCTTGCGTTTATGTATCTATCTACATGTCGGTTGATGATGATGATGACGATGATTGACGACGATGTTCTGGTGTTTTGTTTCTGGGCTCAATTCATGTGCTTTTCATCACTCAATGGCAATTGAATCCTATCGTGTCTTGGAAATTCCAGTTTCCCCATATAGATGCGTGTTTGTGGTGCTCCTGTGTTTTTGTTGTTTGAGAAGGTGCGCAAGACAGCGGACGGAAGAACGCCGCCGACGTCAGTCGTCGGTCTTCGTGATACACTGCGATATTGCGACGCGCCAGGGGACGTTGGAGCCCCGGACGTCACAACGGAGGCAGCATTGTTCCGAGCAGACGCCTCCGAAGCGTCCGCTCTGGGATTCCCTTTTAGCCTGTTGACGGGCGCGTGAACGCGGGGTTGCTGGCGGCGCCAAATTGCAGTGTTTAATTCGCACATGGTATAGACAAAGATGGCGCGCGACCCGGGACTCGTACATGCGTGCATACGCGTTGCGTGATGGTAGGGAGGAAGTGGATGGTGCGGAAAGGAAGGAGGGAGCTGCAGCTCTGGAAGGAACAGCGGCCAGGACGCAGGAAGGAGGGAGGAGAAACGGGCGGCTAGAACAGATTCTCCAGCGACATCTGCTTGATGACGTCCTGTGGTTTGACAATCAGAAATGGCGCACAAATAGTAAGAGAAATACCGACCGTGTTGGAGACCATGTTGGCAAACTCTAGAAAGTTAAGCTTGCCGTCGCTATGCGGAGCGTGCGTCAGCTATATGCGACGATAGTCAGAAGGGAGAAATGGCGCACCCGTCCTTGTCCGCTTCCATTATCGTCTTGTCGACGATCTGCTGTAGTTGCTGATCCTGCGCGTATCGCCGTCAGTCACTGCGTTTGTGAAAGGGCACATGGGCGCTAACCTTCAGGTTGTTTCCCACCATCATCTTCAGCACCAGGAAGAGTTCGCCGTTCGAGATATACCCGTCACGGTCCATGTCGTATACCTTGAACGCGACTAGCCAGTCGAACTGTCAGCATATATGCGCAATGCATAGGCCACTCAGACGCACACTTGAGCTTCTCTTCCCGTCCGCCTCGGCCGCTGAACGCGCTCAGTCCACTGATAAACTCTTGAAAGTCGACAGTCCCGCCGCCGCTACCGAGCGCGTAAGTCACAGCGGATATATCGACATGGAGATACGCACTCCTCGTCAAAGATGGCGATCATTCTGCTCGCAAGTGGATTGGTCGCTATGGCAGGGATTGACAGGAACTCTTCGCGGTCAATCGAGCCAGAGTTGTCGCTGCGGTCGCGTATCAGCACCTGCCACAACCATGCGCATAGTACGCACCTATCCAACTTCATGAACCTCTTCTTGAGGCGCTCCAACTCTGCGGGCGTGACTAAAGCAGGTGTCAGTAGGTCATCTTGACAACCACAGAAGGACGCACAGTTGGACTTCTTCCCCATCTCGTCCATAAACTGTGAAGCTGCGAGGATGCGGTCCATTGAGCCTGCGGTCGTCTATGCGCAAGGTAGGAACCCACAACTCTGTCCCATGGCGGAGGTCTATGTGGTCGGGTCGCGTGCGCGCGGCAGGGTTGTGACAGGCGGGAAAGCGGGGTTTTGACTCGGCGCTTCCGGCGGGTGTCGATGAGTCTGTACAAGGGATCGCCAAGCACGTTGTATCAAGAAGTAGCGATGCGTAATAAGAACCTCGTCCAAAAGAGGTAAGAACAATACTATAGAGGCAGAAAAAGGTCGTGGACGGTGAGACGCGGTCGTGCGCGGCCCCTGTAAGCGAACGCTGGACGCCCTGCCAAGACCAATCGAGGGAGCAAGTGCATCGCCACCAGACCACGTTCCCGTTAGCTCAATCTTGTTGGTGAGAGTCCGCGATGGTTTCTGGTCACCGTTCGATACTTTAATAGAAAGCAGAATGAGAGAGGGAAACAAAGCCTTCTCACACTCGGCGTATTGAGGCGGTACTTGGTCAGTGGCTGTCGCGTTCATTAAAGAACTCGCGCGAGAGACTACCTTGGCCGTCGGTCTGTCGTAAACACCCTACCTCAAAAGGTTATTCGCTGTGTGCAGGATTTGAACCTACGCGTGCATTGCACATATGATCTCGAAATAAATTCAAGTCAGACACCTTAACCTCTCGGTCAACACAGCCTAAATTGCTACCTTGTCTTTTCTCTTTGTTGACCCCAAAACTTTATCAGAAATGGACAAGAAGAAGAAGAATCTCCTCATTCTTGTTAACAGTCAACCGAAGACGACGATTCCACCTTGCACCATGCTTCCGCGGCACTTTATTTGTGCCCAAACAAGCGACGATTGCACTACCGTCGCCGAAAGTGCCAGTGCAGCGGGTTCGGCAAGCGTGCCTGGGCATGGGGACCAGTATCATACCGCAAGTAAAAAGCCCTTGTCTCCCTCTGCGTCGACGCACCGCACTCCCAACCCAACAATCTAGAAAAAACTAGATGAAGCATGCTGGAATAACTTGAGTAACGACAAACGAACCGTACTGAAAACATGGCTTGATTCCACTGTCTTGATTGTACAGACAGCGCGAAATGGAGACAGCGCGGAACCACTTCCCATCATTGCCTACATGATTGTTAAGCATTCTCCTCCTCCACGACCGTCACACGGCTCCCTTAGCTGAGCCTGTTTCCAGTCTGGGTCTTCCTCGGTTCTGCTCCATCTCGGGAATGTCGTACATCCAATCTGTATCGTCTATGATTTCTAGATTCCTCCCACCAGCTCATCCCAACTCTCAGCAATGCCTTACAACAGTACGATTCTTGATTATGCGGTTCGCCAGCTCGGACTACTTATTGCACTCAGTCACATATCCGCCAGCCCAGGATGCTATTTGTAAACCAGAAGACCGGCATGGACATATCCCCGGGTGCAATGGTAGGGTCGTGTTCTCGCGGCTTCCTTCGGGTTTCCGCTTGTCACGTCGACTCCTGTCTTATATTCCAATACGGGTCAAAGCCACGGACACGGCATCCATGCATTGCGATCTTCCGGCACCCCGCATTTGCATATCACCAGCAAGCGCTCGCCCTTGCCGTCTACAGTACCTCTACTATCAGAGGATCCTACGCAGAGGCAATGTAAGGCCCAGGATGGAAGCCATAACAAGAACTGCGCAAAGGCTAGCAACTGAAAGCGGCAGACTTCACGAATTTCCGGGACTGTGAATTGGGGCCTCGCCGGGCTACCGGTGAGTTTCTTGAAGCAGAAGCTATTCACCTTGAGGCCACCTTGTAAGTGTTCACCGAGTTGCCCAAAGTCGTCCGATGTGGCTTACCTTCTTCGCGCCTTCGCGGCTCAGCACTTTTGGACAACAAAGGGGAGGATGTCTTCCCCTGGGGCTTTCCTTGATCACGCGAAGTCCGGGTCCGGCCACTTGCGAGGGTCCTTCCAGTAAGGATACTTCGGAGCCTCGGCGACTACCTTCCGAGCCCCGGCGACTACCGAAAGTGGCAACGAAGTAGCGTCTTGTCATGCAATGTGGCCCCACTCAGAAGTTCCGGTTGCGCAAAGTGAGATATCGCCGGAGTGTGCTCGCGGACTGTTGCGCAGCAGGACACTGATTGGCTTGTAACCGCAGCGAGTCCAAAGGGATAAATACCACCTCCCCAACGGTCTCTCTAGCCCCATCCCCTCTCGAAATCCCTCGCCGCTCAATCTACCCCCTCAAAACAACAGCAATGCCAACGCCTCCTGGTCCTCCCGTAGAAGGTGTCGGTGACCCAACGGCCGTACCGGATGGCACCTACCAGCTTATCAACCTGTCCTCTGGCACCGCGCTCAAGATATCCGATGCCTCGGCCCTCGATGGGTCTTTCATCTACGGCAATCCCCGGAACCTCACTGATCAAGACCTTAAGCTGGCCGCCGTAAGTGCTCACTAAATGTTCGCATCGATGGCCTTGCTAAGCGGTTTGCCTCGTGTAGTGGGCGGTGGCCTGGGACAACACCAATGGCGGATACACATTCAAGAATCTCGAGAGTGGCAAATACTTGACGCACGCTCAGAATTGGAAACAGTTCCAAAACACGCGCACGCTGTTCTTATCCACCACGGCAACTTACTTCGTGCTCCAGGAAGGGACGTTGAATTCAACCTACCAGTCAGTATCTCACTTGCCGTGGGCTACTTAACAGATACTGATGCATGCGCCAGAATCTGGACCCTGAAAGGCAACAACACCGACACTACCCTTGAGCTCTACATAGGCGACCCTGATCCCACTAGGCCTGTAAGCGGTTCCTGCTAAGAGAGTAGCACTTAGAGACTAAGTAACCCTGCTACGTAGGTCATCATACAACCAGACTCGTCGAAGGACAATCAGCAATGGACCTTTGCAGTCATCAAGAAGTAGAACCTAGCACGGGGAAGTTGATCCAGTATCGAGAAGCATAACCAAATGAAGGTTTGTTTTCTCGAATCCTTCCGTATTCGCACTTCAACAGTGCCCTGAATGTAAATGGTCGCTAGTTCAACAGTAGCCTTCCAATGTATGTTGTGAAAACCCGTCCATACCGTGGTAGCCAGAAATGATGCGACCTCGACTGGCTTGATTGGACTCAGCATGAGGGGGACTGAAAATCTCTATCCCGTCTCATAGCATAGAACAGGAATTAGAGATGGCTTTGAGGAGGTAAGAAAGGACGGGCGAAACGGAGTTGATGAATTGCATGGATCGCACACTCTTGCTACACTTTGTAAGGACGCAAGGAAACGCTGGAATCAGACTTGGCTCTAGAGCGCAGTCGCAAGATAATTTTTAATAGTTGAAGCAGTGACACAGGTTCGGCCGAGACGGTGGTAGAGTTCAAGGGCGGGAAAGCCGCTCGGCAGCGCGTGCCTGCGCACCTGCGCGCCGTGTGGCTGTACGGTCGGTTCGCATCATAAACCCTCGTCGTCCCCATCGTCTCCGTTCTACCCTCAACCATCTCCAACCAACAACATACCCAGCAGCCTAGAACCAAAACGAACAAAGTATGGCCGACTCTGCGCTGCTTGCCCAGATTCAGGCGGGCAGGAGGCTCAAGAAGGCGGTAACGAACGACCGCAGCGCCCCCATCGTCGACGTCAAGCCCTCTGGTGGGGGAGGGGGGGGGATGCCCATGCCCGGCGGCGGTGGGGGCGGTGGGAGGAGCGTCAGTCGCTCGGGTGACGACGGCGGCGGCGGCGGTGGGTTGGCAGCTGCAATGGCGGGCGGAGGGCCGCCCCAGCTCGGCGGGCTCTTCGCCGGCGGGATCCCAAAGCTGCGGCCGACGTCGCACCAGCCTGGTACGTCCGCCCCAATACCAGCACAGTCAGATGTACTCACGCCCTCGTCCGCAGTAAACACGGCTACTCTTGCTAAACCACCGTCTATCCCGGGGCGCGGTGCTTCCCCCGTGCCACCGTCTCACGCGCCGCCGCCGCCGCCGCCGCCCTCATTTGGAGGTCCTCCTCCCCCTCCGCCCCCACCTCCTGGTCCTCCGAGCAGGGGCGCACCACCGCCGCCACGCGCTCCTCCAGCTCCTCCAGCGCCGACGCCTCCAAGGCCGGCAGCAGCACCTCCAAGGCCACCCGTCGCGCCTTCCCCCAGGCCCAACGCGGCTCCCCCTCCTCCCCCTCCTCCTCCGTCCGCACCATTCAGACCTAGCGCAGCTCCTCCCCCCCCTCCACCCCCGCCTGGTCCTCCTGTGAGGCCTGGAGGTGCCCCACCTCCGCCTCCCCCTGCACCACCAGCATTTGCGTTTCCTTCGAGGCCCTCCGCCCCGCCTCCGCCGCCCTCAGCGCCACCCAGGCCGATGACGACTCCTCCCGCACCTCCCCCACCGCCTGCACCGGCACCCTCTTTTCCTGGACGTGCGGCCCCCCCGGCTCCACCTCGCTCGACCCCGCCTCGTGCTGCACCTGCCCCACCAGCTCCTCCAGCGCGGCCCGCGCACATACCTCCCGCGCCTCCGCGCTCTCCAGCCCTGCCGCCAAGGTTCGAAGCACCTTCCCTCCCCGGGCGTCCCGCGCCCCCACCGCCTCCTGCCGGTGGTCCCGCTCTCCCACGTCGGCCCCCGCCTCCCCCCGCGCAAGGCCCCTCAGGCGCAACGCCCCCGCGCATGCCTCCCCGGCGCGTGCCCGCCCCTCCTCCTCCGCGCCCAGTGAGCGAATCATTCCCCTCCTCGCCTGCTACGTCCCGCGCGCCTCCCCCGCCTCCGCCCTCCCTCCCCTCGCGCGGACCCGCACCGCCGCCACCAGGTCGCCCAGCCTCCGCAGGAGCGCGCATCGTCTCCGCCCCTGCTGCCCCTCCTCCCCCACCGGTGCGGAGCTCCCTTCTCCCTCCTCCGCCCAGGCGGGACCCGCCCCCTCGTGCCCCGGTGCAGGAGCCGGAAGAAGAAGAAGAGGAGCCCGCGCGGTTCGCCCCTCCCCTCCCGGCGGTGGACTCGAGCGCTAGGGCGGCGAGACGGAGCTTGGCTCCCCCGCCGCCTCCTCCCCCTGGCGGAGGGGTGGGCATGCAAAGGAGTGTCAGCGAGAGTGGGACGAATGGGCTCGCGAGGGCTGCTATTGATAGTATGCCCCCGAAGCGGGTGTCCCGCAGTGAGCATTCCCATATGTTCATTACGAGTTCTGCTAACTGATTTTTGAAGTCCCGTCGCCCCCGCCTACTACAGGGGGGCATACCTTCCCCACATCAGCCCAGTTCCCTCCGCCTAGGCCGTACAGGGGCGAGGTGAAGACGTACATGAGCGGCGCGAGGGAAGGGAGTGGGTTCAACATGTCGGCTCTGGAGTGAGCGCGTACGGGTCACCAACCGCTAAAGGTGGTGCGTGGCGAAATGGGCTCGAACAATGGCCTTCGACGTGCATACGAACTGTGTAGTCAGAGTGCCGTTGGAGTGCCCTCGCAACCCGACAGTGGTCGCATTATTAATGTACATGTCTTCATTCCGTACTCGTGTGAGATGCTGTGAAAGTGTCGTGTGCGTTGATGGACGACGTGTCGCATCCGAATCGTTGCGTTTCTGCGTCTCTATCGGCTGTCAAAAGGTTTCATGCGCCTCCTCCGGTTGCATGGCTTAGTAAAGGGTCCAGCCGCAGAGGAAAGGGTTTGACGTGGACGTGGCAGCGCCCGCAATGGCGGGACCTTATATCTCGCGTCC